ACCAACACCCCCAGGTCCTTTTCCGCCAGGCAGCTTTCCAGCCACTCTTCCCCAAGCCTGTAGCGCTGCATGGCGTTGTTGTGGCCGAAGTGCAGGACCCGGCACTTGGCCTTGTTGAATCTCATACAGTTGGCCTCAGCCCATCGATCCAGCCTGTCCAGGTCCCTCTGCAGAGCCTTCCCACCCTCGAGCAGATCAACACTCCCGCCCAACCTGGTGTCGTCTGCAAACTTACTGAGGGTGCACTCGATCCCCTCATCCAGATCATTGATAAAGATATCAGACAGAACTGGCCTTCTCATCTGCAGGTATTTTCTTTACATTTGCAGGTCCAAAGGGATCACAGGCAAAGAACTGACCCCTTTTATGTTACAGAAGATCAATGAATTAACTGATGGGAAATCGCTGGACTCCAGTATCCTTTTACTAAATGGGGGGGGGAAAAGTACTCCAATGTACGTCCTATCTGTTCTGATAATGCTTGCTGGAAAACGCTGTCACTTTATTGACAGTCTAGCAAGGGGCAAACACTTCAGTATTTGCAAACAGATGAGAGCTTAGCAACTGCATCCTGCTTTTTCAGGAGCACCCTTACTGTCCTCATCCACCTTTGCATTAAAAATTGAGACCAGCACAGACAGCAGGTGGTCCAGAGCGTAAAGAGATCCCTCACGTCTGATCCCTGAGCTTGCCTGCTCCGCACAGTGCTCAGGACACTGTTGCCCGTGGTAGGGTTGCACACTGGAAGGTACCTGGGCTTCCCAGAGCACTGCGTTGTACATCACACCGCCTTATCCAACTCTTCATGCAGGTGCAAAGTAAGAGAAACTTGGAAGAAGAATACCCTTGGGTGAGCAAGAATCCTCTTGCACAGGCAAGAGAAAGGCAGATCTACTGGCTGGGATGCTGACATAGGATCTGGGAGAGCCACGTTCATGTCCAGGCTCTGCTGCCAGCCCTCTAGAAGACCTCATAGCTGGCCAGTCAGGGCAGATTGGTAAAGGCATTTTTTGATATTAGAACCCTACACAGCCAGAAAGTGGGGCTTTCAAAGCCTCTGATACTCTGCTCCCAGTGAAATTGATAAAAAAATGGGCTTATAGAGACTTGGCAAAAAGCTCATTAGGCATCTAGTTCTAGAAAAGCTGGCCAAGATCCTCAGAGGTTTTTTAGACTCTCGACTCCAGTTTAAGCACTTCACCTTCTCTTTTGTCTGTGAAGCCTTTGCTTCTGTTCCCTATCTGTTGAATGGAGGCAACAGGTTTCCTCTGTGTGGACACAGGGGGAGGAAGATGAAAAAATTGAAAAATTCAGGGTGTTCATGCAGTATTGAAACCCAGCATATGTGCCCCCAAAGGATTATGGCACGGGAGATCAAATCTATCAAGTCTCACAGCATGTATTTTCTGCTTTCTCCCTCTAGGCAGTTCCTACATAGGCTTCTGACAGGTCGATCTTGCTGGTATTTTTTCTTTTCCTCAAAGAAATGCCAAACAGACCTTGCTCTTATCCAGAACAATGCCAGAGTGGGCAGCTGCATTGCAGTGGCCCTGAGCAAACTACAGAAAGCCAGAAGGACGGGGAACCTGCCTCGGCGAGAGGACACAACCTCACCTCAGCCAGTGAGTCCCCTGCTGCCCTCCATATAATGTCTCTCTGCTGACAGCACAGGATAAATTTATATCTGTTCCCAAAAGTAAAAGGTGACTCAGCCAGAGATTGATCTTTCTGCTTCACGCTGGCAGACATTCTCTCTTTAGTATTTTTTATTCTTCTCAGATAAATATCCTCTCCTCCTCCCCCTATCCACATTTACAGGGAATAAATACTTACAGTGGCCTAATCCCATTAAGTCTTAGACCATCAAATCCATTAAAACTTTAATCACCTTTTCACCTTTTATCGTGCCCTTATGTATAACTTCAACTGTATTGCTCTCAGTGCCAGGGAACTCATGACTACAGGAGTAGACCTGGAAGAGGGTGGGTGGAGATATTTTGAGCTGCTGAGCCATATGTGTTTTATAAATATCTCTTCTTGTGGGCCTCCTGCTCATGATTGCCAAAATTACAAGACGTGCAGCATATCCCAAACAAGATCCATTATAACCCTAATAGTCTATTCACTATCTTAGATTTTGTGTGCACCACATAATTTACAGGAAACCTATTTTAGATAGTCTTTAGAGAGCTGAAAAATTTTCTAAAACCCGTTTGCAATAGGATTTGTCAATATAAAGGAGGGCAGTGACTGCAGAGGCAATAACCCAGCATTTGATGGAATGAGAAAAAACAGCTGTATGTCCCCAAAGAATCTGGAAACTTCCTGTTTGTGGAGCTGTACTGCTTTTTCAGGCTTTGTAGGACAATAAGACAGTGATCCATAAAGTGTCACTAGGTACGGCAATTTCTCCTGGGAGCTTGCAAGAAATGACTGCATTTTTCTGCCCACTTTTTCCCATTTTCTTTGCTTTTTTACACAGCAGTGCTTGAATGTTTCTGAGATTTGGTATGTCAAAAATTGCCCCAAGAGAGATGGCTTCAAGGGCACTGACATGACCAGACCCATGCAACTACTTATATTATTCTATCACCACACAGAGAAACCACCAGCACCCATATGTGTACACAATAATATCCCACCTGCCATGCTGGGCCTGGCTATGAGCAGGCATAATTCAGAAAGCAACGTATAGAAGAGATTTCCGTTCTTTCTGATTGGGATGGTACATACCTGTGTCTAGCCATCCAAAATAAGCACAGGCTTTCACACTATAAATTAGATAGATAGCTTTCAAGAGAGTGGGAAAAGTGACTAGGGAAAGCAAAGAAGACTTGGAAACTTTTCCCTCAAGTCCTTCCAACTGCTTTTTACCTCTTTCTTCCCTCTTAAAGGTGGTGATTGGAGGTATCAACGTTGACTTTATAGCCAAGGCACAGAACCCTGTCATCCTGGTACTGTATCTATAGCAGCTTTCTTAGCACCGCTGCCATTTCCACCTACTTTTACAGGAGTGCCAAGCCAAAGGGGGGTGGGGGGAAAGGTGGTATCCGTGCATGATATCCACATGTCTGCATGCACACACATGCACAAACGTGGGCGGTGTAGTGCTGCACATTTGGTGTGTTGTCTAGGTGGGCAATGGGGTGATACTCTGTTCCCGTGCTGAAAGTCACTAACCCTACCACTCAAAACAGGGACAGAGCAATGTATCATCCTTACAATCTCCATATATGACTCTGGCCTCTACAGTCTATGTTAATGTGCCTTGGGGCTATTCTCTGATGCCATAAGCCCAAAGAACTCTTTTAGCAGAAGAGCTGCCCAGGGCACTCTCAAAGCACACCTGCAAAGAACTAGAAGCAATAGGTAAAGACCCTCACTGTGCTATGACAACCTCAAATTCAAGGACAGACCCTGTAGGGAGGAAATCCCCAGGTAAGAGCCAGCTCTGGCTGCCTGGGACTGCCTTAGCTGTGGAAAGCAGCATGAATAGGAGCAAGAGTCTCCGTGCAAAGTACCCACAGTGGTAAGAAACTTTTGAGAAAAGTAGTACTGACACAGTTTACAGCTAAACAAGAGAGCCAACTTCCTCAGTCATAAAGGATTTGAGTCACACACACACAAAAAGAAAAAGATTGCTTTAAAAAAATAGAACATTTTAAATGTCACCAGACCTTCTCCCTCTCAATTTGGTTTGACTAAGAAACAACCAAGAAGCTAAAGTGGAACAGACCTGGGAATTCCCCATGCAAATGACAGCCTTTTGCATGGGATATACAATTTTTGTTGAGCTCTGTGAAGTACTACAGATTGAGGTGGTGAAGCTTGTTCAAAAGTTGTTTGGTGTCTCAAATTACTCTATGCTGATTGCCGAGGCAGGAAACTCCTGCCGTCAGATGGGGCGATCTGTGAAGACCTATCAGTCAGATAGGTAAAGACGTGCTGGGGAAGCTGTCCTTAAGGAAGTTGGCTATTCAATGATACAGAGGCAGAGGCCGAACGGTATTATAATGGTCAAGGGTGACACATGCTGTGGCTATGAAGGCTCGCAAAACCAAAAGTTCAACTGCTTCAGCTGTGATCTAACTGGTAACATACATACACCACGCTGAGCTATCAGGACAAGGAGCTAAGCTGTGACCAAGGGTGGGCAGCCACCCCTTGGCGTGTCAGACATGAGTGCAGATCCCTGGACCACCCGTGGCATGTTGAGGGGCCAAGGGCAGCTATAGACCCCGCTGGGAACAGCTGACAGGGGAAAAGGAAAAAGGAGATTTTAACATTGCATGAAAAAGTGAGGCATTAGCTGCCCTTGTGTATAGCAGCGAGCCCTAGAGCTGATGGTTCATCGTGGCAGCTACCCAAATGCCAAGCTGCAGGAGGATTCGGGAACTGATAGCCAAAACATTCTTGCTGACAGCTGCTGTGGTTAGGCACAGAGGAAAAGGCACCCCCAACAGCATTGCTTTGTTTTGGCTTTTAAAGACAGATTTTTTCAAAGGGCTTAGCACCCAGCAGAGCCCGCCCTTATGCATGTTGGATTTGTCGCAGAGCACTGGGGTACCACTCACACCTCATGTGCAGTTAGCAAGAAAGCAGCTGAATTCTGTCCTGGTTGTAATTCCCACATGGCTTTCAAGGTTACCCAGAAGCAGAGTGCTTTATAAGTAACTATCTGACCTGCAGAGAAGGATGTATGGTCTTGGTCAGAGAAAGGTGCTGGAAGAAGCATTATGGTTATAACTCTCTCAGGATACCCAGAAGTTGAGCAGAGTCTCATTTTTACGTTAGGAATTCAAACCTCTTAGGACATGGAAGAAGGTCCCAGAGACTATCTCAATTCTCTCCAACATTGCCAGAAAGCAACAGCCCAGTCTTATTTCAAATAACCTCAGCAAGCCCATTTTCATCTAAGTTCTTTCATCTCAGCCAGCCCCACCTGAACACAACGTAGAAGAGATACCCAAGTACCGCTCAGACGTGGAATTACCGGCTGAGCTGGCAAGGTGCAATGAGAGCCAGTCATTTCCTATTCTTCAAAAACAGGCTGCCGGTTTCTCTCTCACTGCACCCACCTGCTACTTTAAAGAGAGATTTAGCATCTTCATTTCTTTTAGGCGCTGTGGGGTTGTACAACAGCAGAGGTCACCCACAGCTGGATCCCCGAGCGGGAGACTGGTATATCTACTGTTAGGGCAAGGCTTGGCATAAAAAACCTGAAACACTGCCTTTGGGATGTGCGGGGGACTAAAAGAGAAGATCAGCATGCCAGACAATGAAAGGAGCTCATGAGTATTTTCAACACTCCTGCTAGCATCAGTTCTGAAAAACAGATAGTGGAACTGCATAAAATAGAGTTTGTGCTCATGACTGACAGCAGTTAGTACCCTCTTTTAATATTGAAGTAGGGGCCAGTGTTCAAAAGCATGTGGTTTGACTTGTCTAAACAAGCATCCTTGCTTTTTACTTTAGAGCAGGGTTTTGTTTGTTTTTTTGGTTTTTTTTTTCCCCTTGGCTGCCTCTATTATGGATAGTGAGCTTCAGAGTTAAAATAGCCAAGCTCAATGCTTTTGAAATCTGCAACACTCAACAGGAGACAGTTGCAGATGGAAATATCCTCATTCCTGGCAGTACCAGTGGCAATTCCCAGGGAGCATGAGCAAATGTAACAGAGGGGCATTTGGGTTAATGAGGAGTGACAAGTAGTGGAAAGATGGACGGAGGCCATAGGTTGCTTATATAGAGGCAGTTCTGCTCAGGTGGTCTGAGCAGTTCAGGGTTTGGAGAACTGCCAGACAGAAAAGCAAAGGCGTCAAGAATTAGCACCAAGTCTTACAGACTACAGAACCGGGGAGAGTCAGGGCAAACAAAAACAGCCTGGAGGTCAGAAGAGAGTAATAAAAGAGCATATTTAGATGGGAGAGCAGCCTCTTACAGTCGCGGGGCTGGATGCGGAAGAAAGCATTGTGTGCAAAGGACAGATGTACAGCTTTGGCTGGGGGAAGAAGAAGGGTCCTTGGGAGTATGAGTTTTGAGAACGCCCAAGAACAGTGATGGGTTGGAGGCAGAATATTTCTTATTCTGAGACGGCAATACACTTACTTGTTTAGGATAGATAGTGGTATTTACAAGCAAGAAAAACCTGTATGTGCAGGGGTATTCTGGTGCACCTGGGCTAACATGGGGCAGAGAGAGTCTGGGCCAGGAGCTGCTGTGTACGGGCATGCACATGCTTCAGCGGTTGCCACACAAACGCTCAACACACTCTTGAAAGCTCTGAATTATCCAGAACTGTGAAGATCATTATCACTGCCAGTGGCAAGCTGTCTTCAGAAATGGAAAATTTGTTTCAGGATTTTATGAAGCAAGAGCTTTAAAACCATTTGATAGCCACATGAAGCCCAAAGAGATCTGAGCACTTACTGATGTAATTCTGCTGGCAGGAGAATTAGAAGGAGGAGGAGAGGGGTGAGGGACTGCCACTGTTCTGACAATTTGGCTGTTTGTGACAGACTGACAGATGGACAGAGGAGTGGAAGGCAGAGGCAAGAGAAAAGAGAAGTTTATAACCACACAGGTGGAAAAGAAGGATATTTTTGATGAGGGAAATGTTTGGGAAGAGAAGGGTGAGTGAAAAAGTATTCAGACACCGAAACAGATCTTTCCACAAGTAAAGTACAGAGGCAACACGGGCAAAGTAACAAATCTAATTTTACCTTCAAAGGGAAATAAATAAATAAATAAAAAACCTGGAAGGCAGCTGCAGGAGCCCATCAGGTCTGGGTCAGCAGCTCTGGAGTCCCAGTGTTGGTGTGAGCAGGTCAATTCAGAGGGCTGCTCGTATCAACTGAAACACTCATTAGTATTGTTCTAAGAGGTCTTAGCAAATAAGACCAAAATAGCAATGCATGGGGAGACCAAACTGATGTGCCCTCCTAGGAACTGGGCCTTTGTCATCAAGTTTGAAGTGTGTAGATGGGCTGTAGAAGCTTGCATTGCTCTCAGTCTGGTAGCTAGATGGCTTCTGCCCCCTCTAATTGCTGACCTATGTTTCAGCAGCATCAACTTCACATGTTAATGGAGACATGGCATCTATGCCAAGCAGCCCTCCCAGTTTTGCCAATTAACAATTTATTCTTCCAGGACGGTGGGCAAACAAACGCTGGAAGAGTGAGACGAACCTTTGGCGGCGTTGGAAGAAACTTGGCAGGTGCCTAGTGCTTGGGTTTGCCTGTGGGTGCATGCCAGCTGTGATTTGTCCTTCGGTATTCCTTCAACAGCAGGAGCTCTTGCATGCTGTTAAGATCTGGGACACGTTAGGCAATATACCAGTGGGCAGACTGCCTGGAAAAGGTAGGGGCCATTCCAAGAAATAAGAGGGGAGGGAGTCGGGGATCAGGAAAAGAAAGGTCCACAAATATGAAGTTAACTAGCATACAGCACAGTGACCCCAAATCAAAGTTAAATAAGCATCAGTGATCTCCAATGACTGCTGAACAGCCTGGCCCTCAGTGTTGAATTAATGCCAGGTTATAGTCACAATAGAAGTATGTCTTGAGCAAGAATTTGAAAGGAATAGGCTTATTGAAAGATGATCATCCATGCAGCACAGACAAGAGGAACTGAGGTTTAGAAGAGAAAGGGCTACAGTTGCTGGCAAAAGGAAGGGATCACGCTGTGCCTGGTGCTCCACCACAAGCAGCAGCAGACCAGTGTTTGGGTATTGAACTTAGCAGGGGCAGATTACAAAAAGATTTTAGGATTATTCCAGCTTTTTGACCTTTCCCAAATCTTCCTAACACAAATCTACTACCACTTCAGATCACAAATGGGGAAGCTTGAGGGGAAAAAAAAATATGCCACCCATGCCACCCACTGAGGTATAATTTGTGGTAACTTGAAGGGAGAGGAGGAAGGGTTTCCTGTGAATCCATTCAGATTCAATGGTTCTAGTAAGACAGCATGGTGGGAACAGCAGTGTGGGAAGGCCAGCAGCAGGAAAGGCCGTGCACAGAAGCAATGTGGGAAAGCCCACGTGCCTGGGAAAGGAGATGATTCCAGGGAAGTGCAGAAGTTTCTTCCCCCTTCTTTTTTCCTCCACTCCCAGATGTTCCAAAAAATCTGGAGAATTCAGAGTGCCAGTGCAGCAGGCAGACGTAGATCACCCCACTCAACCCCAGCCAGTCATTTGCAGCAGCTGTGGCTGAGTTTCATCTTGAACATCCTTCTAGACCAGGATTGATGGGCATTAAGTTTTCCAGGAGAGGGCTTTGCTACAAACACTCATCCTGCACAGGCTGTCACTGTGTTCACAGTACTCTGATGGATTTATTAACATCTTTTGTTTCCATTTGCTTTTAGACTGCTTAAGCCGCCTTGGACAGACTCCTCTCTTTTTATCAGCTGTGGGGAAGGATGAACATTCAGAATCCATCCTGCACTACTGTCACCACATGGTACGTTGCACAGTAATGGCACCTCAGAAGCATGGAAGTGCTGACATTACATAGAGGGAAAAGTCTTCTAAACCCTGGCAGACGTAAGAGTCACCTTCCATCAAGCTAAGAGTAGGAATAATTCAATGTTCCTTTAGTTACAATTAGAAGGCAAGGAGCCACCCCCTAAAACAGAGTCTAGGTGTATGTACCATTTGGAGTCTGAACCATGGGGTCTGAAATCAGCTCCAGGGAGTGGCACTTGAAGGAGAAAGAGAGGTAAATCAGGAGGAACTATGAAAACTTCTAGGAAGGCCTAAGCACAGCCAGAAATATGCAAAGCCTGACCCTGAGGATAGGCAAAGTAATGCCAAAATCAGCCTGGTTTGAGTAAAGCATAAGTTAGAGAAAACCTGGAACTGAGAGCACAGGCTGGACACCTCCCAAGTTCAGAGGAGTAGGGTTCTCCACATAGCTGCATACACCCCTCTCTAACTGTGCACCAGAGGAATATCTGACTTCAGCAGCAGCTTGTCCACCGAGTTCAGGGAGCCAGGAGCAGCAGGAGCTCACTGCGGGCAGCAAGACAGAGCCTCACCACCCCAGCAGCAGAGAAAGCCAGGAGGGCAACCATAACCTAGGGCATTGGGCACCTCTGTTACAACAGAGACATAACCTATGGAACTGCATGGCAGAGACCTCTCACTCTCATTTACTAAATGATTTCTTTAAGCTGTGGCATTTGTTGCGTTGCAAATATTAAAAAATAGCCATCTGCCAGCACTGTCTGGACTGAGATACCTCTGAAATGTTGCTTATCTCAAGGGAGAAGGGAGGTTGAAGGGAGAACAGCAAGCTGGGCTACCGATCAGGTGGGCACAGAGAAAGAATGAGCCAAGTGTGGCAGGGAAGAGAAACATGCTCCATGTATAACTGTCCTCCCTGTTTTAGGACATGAGTGCCGTCCTTCAGCTGGAGGGGAAGAGCACAGCCACTTACTGTGCTGTGATCACTAGTGCTGGGGAGCTCAGCGTCGGCTTGGGTGATATGGACATCCACCACCAGATAACAGAGCAATATGTATGCATACCATCTATTTGTAAGCTTTTCCATATGAGAAGGAGCGTGGACGTGTGACAAAAGGCAACTGGTGAAGCTGCACCAGGAGGAAGTGGGTGTGCAGAGGGAACATGGGGAAATCCTAAAGTTAACCCAGACATTGGCCACTGAGATAGCAGCATGGCAAGCTACCAGAGCCCTCTGTTGCTGCTGACCCAGGTGGAGCTTCTATCTGTTTCTGCTCCGTACAGTATCACGACTAGTATCATCCCATGACATGTAGGCCAGAATCCTCTTCATTAACTAGTCCCAGCTAACCTATCATTTTTGGCACCTTAGAGCCAGCAATAAATCCAGTCCACCTGCAGAAATGGTATTTCCTCTTTAGGGAAAAACAAAGAAAAGTGGACAGAACACTGGTTAAAGCAAGTTTTCCTGTTCCATCCCCTCCCCACCATCCCTGTTGTTTCTACATGCTGAGTTATATCAACAGGCACTGCTGCTCAGCACATTCAAACCTTCAAAACGTCAGGGCTAATGGAAGCAGTGATTAAGGACTGATTGAGTGAAAGCCCCATCACTGCACCCTCCTTCCCTACTCGTTCCTTTGTTGACAGAACAAAAGCCTCTGCTTCATGACTGACAGTGACATGGAAGTTAAGTGCAATTTACTTAACAGTGGGATCCCCATGAGGTGGAGACTTCCTAGGGAAAAATATGGTCATTGCTCCCACTTCCATCTCCACCCTGCCTCCCCCAAGCCTTGGCACAGAAAACCATTACCTGACAGATTAATTCTCCTGAGCTTTATGAAACCGCTGTGGCCAGTGGAAACTCTGAACCAATCTTCTGCTGCAAAGTGCATTCTGGCAGCCCTTCTTTCCGCCAGGATTATCAGAGACATGGGAAGGATGCTGCATGAGTGCCTATAGCACTGGCCTGGCGTTCAGGCAGTGATTGAGCAGCCTCAGAGAGCCAAAGGAGGGAACGGCAGCTCCCCACTCTACTGCTCCACTGTCCCCATCCCTGTGCGATTCAGTAGGACTCAGGAGTAAAACACTGTGATGTCCAACCTGTCTCAGGAGGCACTGTGCACAGAGGACATCTAAATGACATGCGCAGCAAGCAAAGGCATAGTCAAGCCAGGCATAGCACAGGGAATCCTACAGTGACGTTAAATAGCAGCATTCCCTTTCCCTGTAGGTCTCTGACTGACCCACGGGTACCAAAGTAGTCTAGTGAGGACCAGCAACTACCTTTCTCTGCTGGAGGGCCCCTGCCAGTTGAGTCCAGCTCTTGATGGCAGGGAGCAGGGGAAGGAGAAGAAGGTGAGGAGATGAGACAAATGACAAAATCCATTTTCCGTAGGGACTCACTCTTTTAGGCTTATCCCTGCACCTAAGGGCTGCAATACGAGTGAAAATCCTACAACCCGAGTCTGAATAGCAATCATTTCCCCCCCCTGCAATGACTCAAGGTGTCTCTACTCTGTGTCCTGGATTTTCACTAGGTGTCCCAGTTCAAGGAGAACCTGTGCCAGGCCCCGCTAGTTTGCATTGATGGAAATGTGCCTCTTTCCACTATTCAGTATGTCTGCCAACTAGCTAGAGAGCATCAGCTAGCAGGTAAGGAGAACTCACCCAGCCCTGGCCCCGTAGCTCCTAACAGCGTGTGTGCCGAGACACTCCGCACACCCTGAGAGCTCCCCACTGCTGCTTGCTGGAGATACCCAGTTATTGGCTGACACGCTGTGTTATTCAGCGTTCCTTTCTATACACTACTACTCCATTTCAAACGGATGAAACATTTCTGCTTTCTCTGAGTTTTTCTCATTCTGCAGCTAGATCGCATTTCCCGTAGTGTAGGTGCTATAGCCCTTGGGCACTGCCAGAAAGCCAGGGAAAGCTGCTCTCTTTGCCTTTAATCTCAAGGCAAGCACAAATGTGTGTGCTTCTGCCAGTCTGAGCAGCAATATAGTTTGCTTCTCAGAATAAGTGCTGGAGCATCTTTTGAGAGGATTTCTCTCCCACTTCCCCTAAAATACATACCTCCCTTCCCTGGTATGCTGGGGACCCTTCACAAGGCTTCCTAAACCTTTGGAGTTATGCCTTCATTTTTAAAAGGAAATCCTGAAGAAGGAGACAACATTCTTAAAACCTGGCAGAGGCTCCAAAACCAGCTAAGAGGAGTAACAAAACTGAAGTCTGATTATATCGCTCCAGAGCCAGAAGCAACAGCGTCATTGCTGAGCACGGGAAAGGAAACCTTGGGAGACCTTGTCCCAGGCACGGGGGAAATAGTGTTTAAGTTTCTCGTAGATTACACGTATAACCCCAGTTGTGCAGATGACGCTAAGCGTTCTACACTGCATCCTGCTCTGACATAGAGATGAACCACTAATTACTTAATTAACTAACCAATTGCAATGTTGTTTTGAAGTGTGCTATGAGCCAACAGATGAGAACAAGGCTTCTAAGCCATTCCTCTCAGACAGCTGGAAAGCGCTTACGTACATTTCCCCCAACCTGCAAGAGCTAAGAGCAATAAATCGGACCCTCGGGAACCCTCTGCCAGCAGGTATTGAATACTCAGAAGGGTCAGTCACACTTTTAGATAACCTAGATCCTGGAGAAGAGCATCTAATGCTCCAGCCCCATTTCAAGCAAATTGGGTTATAACACAGTGGGGATCCATAAGCACTCTTGGTGTCTTCCACCTTACAGCCATCTCTGCGTGGGTTGTATGGCCCAGGCCGGGCTGATGATCTGTCAAAGAGCACAGCAGGCCTGCGATGGCTCCTTGTCCAAAACCAGAGATCCCGTGTGCCTCATTTCATCAGCTAAACAGGAACGATCTCTGGTTTATAAACAAGCCTCTGAAGCATGATGCTCTGAGGGCACCTGTCCCAACAGTATCACCCTTTGCAGAAATGAAATACCCCACCACATGTAGGTGGAAAACCAACAGCCTTAAGACAAGGAAGTCATGCTTCATGACAGCTTTTTGATCTGTACAGACACATGTTTAGTCCCATGAGGGGTGGTTTCCTCAGCGTAGAATAGAGGTACGGTATGGAAGTCTAATGTTGGAGAATTCCATGCTTCCCATGATTTAAAGAAAAAAATTTATATCAACCACATTTCAGAAGTGCTCATAAATAGTAGCGCTCCTAAATGGGAGTAGTGGTGCTCATAAATAGGCTGCCAGCCCATAAAAAGGCCAATTGAGGACCTTTAAAGTTATACCACAGTTTTTCCTCCCCGCTCTCTGAAGAGCTGCCATCCAGGTTGGAGGATGTTGTCCAGACTGCAATGGCCCTGGCCCGCCCTTTGCTGGCCCACCTGCACTGTGTGGTGGTGTCCCTTGGCGCTCACGGCGTCCTCCTGTGTGGCAAAAGCCTGGCAGGGAGCATCTCGCTTCGTCCAGGAGCTCACGAACAGGTAAGGGCACGGAAAACAACTTCTGAGCTCTCAGTTCCTTCTTTCTGGGACCATATAGCACCGTAGCTATTTCTGGTGGCGTGGCAGCAGTCCTGGGAAACATGGCATCACTGCTGGCAAATGTATGTGTTTGAGGGGTGGAATACACAGCTCTGAAAGAAAATCAAGTCGACTGTCCGTATACTGCTGGCTCCTAGCAGCAGTGTTTATAGTCAGCTAGTTGTAGATGTGCTTACCATGAATATTCATGAGTGCAAGCTTCATTTTCAGGAAGCTTCATTTAAATTGCTGATCTCTTTCAAAGTGTGAAAAAAGATTATTGCCTTTTTTTTTTCCCTTTTCTTTTTTTGGCATCCATGCAGGCCTGGATGGCATCAGCCACACCAGGCCTTATCAGCTTGGGCAATAACCACGAACTTTCCTTCTCTCCCCACACAGACTGCTGCTGCCAGCCTCTGTGCCACCCACTACCCCGCCATCCACATCAGCAGGGAGGAGATAGTCAATGTCTCGGGCGCCGGCGACAGGTATATTGCTCGCTACTTTGTCTTCTCCAGCTAAATGTGGAAGGGCCATAATCGGATTTCTTTGAAATTCTACTGCAAAGGCAAACGACATTCTGCTGCTTGAGGAGCAAAGATTAAGGACACAAGAACAGGACTGGTTAGTGTGATTCCTTGCAAAGCTTGCTAAAAATGTCCCCCTAAGCATCTTGGAAGCCAGTCTTGCCATTATTAGTTTTGCTTTTCTTTAAGATCCAAGCCTTTCACGGCAATCTAGTAGTTCTGAATTAGTCCAGGCTAAGCTGCTGAAAGCAAAGTAAACCACCTTACATCAAAGCTGTCTTACTAACTACTTTACTTCCACATTTCTCCAATGGAAGTGGGACTGCCACTCAGTAGCTAAAATCGCCCTACAAAAGCATTTCATCAGGTTCTGCATTTGCCTCTGGCAATAGCTCATGCTTCAAAAGAGTCTGCTGTATAATTCGCCTAGCTGTTCACACAACGCTGTACATAGGAGTAGGAAATGACAGTTATTATTCCTAGCCCCACTGATCAATTCTCAGTCTGTCAGAGTAACATTTGATTGTGCTCCTTGTTAACTTGTCAAACTATATGTAGTAGTCACGTTTTTTTCCTTCTTGCTTGGTACACCGCAATAATTGATTCTATCCTTTAATTGCCTTGGGCTAGACCAAAAGGCTACATGTGACAGATATTTCCTTTTATTTTTCTACTCTTACCTACCAATAACTCAACATAGCAACACTTCTTTTTTCTTTTATGAGTGGGCAGAATGAAAAGTCATTTTTTTTGAAACTTACAGCATCCTCAATATTTGAGTTAGGATCAATCAATAACTTCTTGCCCAGCTAGTTAACCCACTTAACACCAGGACACACTCCTTGTGTCCCAAATCACCTCTGAGATGAGTTGAGTGCAACTACAAGCTGGTCCATGTGGGGATTTTCATAGTCCTCTTGTTCATCCAGGGTTTTCCTTCCTGGTAACCCCGCCTGCTCCACTGAGCTGCAGAAATCCCTGTTCTACAGAGTAAGAGTGCCAAAACCGGCTGGAAATGCCGGGACACTACATTGACGTACGTGCCATCTCCACCGCATGTAAACTGGTAAAGTTGCCCAAGCCCAGCCTGCTGGCACTTTCAAGGGACCATGCAGCAGGGCATAACCCAGGGCTGTAACACATTCACGGCTCAGCCCCCGTGAACCCCCAGGCTTTCGGAGCGCTGCTCAGGGGGTGCTGCGCACCCAGAAACAGTGATCCAGGGCACCTCACGCCTCGCTTCGACCCTGCGGCTCTCCTACAACGCCAGAGATGCTGCCCAAGGAGCCGTGCGTGTGTGCAGGGAGCAGCGGCTGTTTGCTCCTTGCAGCTGGCTGCCGTGACAACATAACACCGCGTGCCTGCACACAGCATTGCTAGGGGATGCTCCCCCAAATATTTACTCTGAACCTCTGGAGCTGTTGAGAGATTGAATGGTTTATGAAAATCATAATCTTCTGTGCCTTTGTAATGGATAAAAAGATGTTGAGGTAATTGGAGTGCAAAAAACCAAAAAAAGCGATCTTTTTCCCTTCCCCATAGATTTGCTCGTTAATCCTCCCTGCCGTCACATTTTCCTGTCCTTGCTTCTTCCTCTCAGATGTCATTATCTTCTCCCTTCTCTTTCACTTCTCCTTTGTCCTTTTCTAGCTTCCAAGCATCATTACTGTATTTAGCTATGAATAAACAGTAGTTGTTCCCAGTCGATCACAAACACCACCCTGCACATATCCATGCCTCTACAGAGCCTTCCCCTGCAAGCCAGGCAGATGGCAAAGTCATCCCCTTCTCCTGATGGCCTCCTGGTGCCTTGTGAGGACCTGTGGGTGACCGCTGTTGTCCCAAGCACTCACAGCATTTTTACTGGGGAATTTCAAATGGAAAACCACAGCTAAAGTTTACAAAAATCTGAATCTACAATCTCATTTCAGCTTTGGATTTCTTTTTCCAGCTGTGTCTGTTGCCCCACTCACATATATATGGAAACTTTACCTCTCTTCCCATCCACCCCTTTGGGGACAGGAGGGAATGTGACGAGGCACCAACAAGGAGCAGAGAAGTGACAAAATAATTAGAGAGCAAGGGAAAAATAGCTCCTTCCCTTCTTAGACTCTTTTCTTTTCTCCTGCCTCACCTCGAAAACTGGGGAGAAAAGAAGATACGGTGGAATAAGAAAGTACCCCAACTTCTCAGATAAGAAGCAAATAAAATGTGAATAAGCAGCGCTATTTGTTACTCCAAATTTAAAAATAAATATTAAAAAATCAAGAACTTTTCATTATAACCTCACCCCTCCTGTGTGACATATTCTGCTTCTGTAAGGGTTGGTTTGGGTCCAAATGAATTCTCTTACAAACGAATGGCCATGTTTCAGAGGTCAAAGCTGTTCCCCAATGTTCAAAACTGCCTTTCTTTCTCTCTGCAGCTTAATGGCGGGAATCCTTGCAGGGATGCTTGCTAAACATGACGCAGATACCTGTGTCCAGATGGGTCTGCTTGCTGCAAGCTTGTCTCTCCGTTCCTACGAGCCCATTTCCCCAGAAATCAGCACTTCCAGTGTCAGCCAGGAGCAAGTCAAGAGCAGGAGCTGGCCAGAGGTGAAGGTATGGAAGATGGACTAGAGCGCCGTGGCTTTCTCATCCATCACCTCCTCACCCTCCCAGCATTGCTGTTTCCAGGAACTGGGCTGTGTTTTGAGCTTCGAGCTCAAAAGCTGGCTGCTGACCAGAGGACTTAGACTTTTGGTGCGCACTAGCTTTTGGGAGGTGAAGTGTCAATGGAGTGCATTTGTGACAACTTGCATTGCACTGTTCACACTCATGTTTGTCTGCCTCTCCTTTTTTTTTTTTTTTTGTGGGTTACAGCAACCACAGCTTGGTTCTTCTGTCTACTGCCTGTTGATAGTTTATCTCACCTCCCCCTCTAAGGAGAACACTCACCTGTTTTGGTCTTGAGTAAACCCTCAGAGAAGGAGACCCCAACCCAGGGAACTTCTTTGTACAGAAGTGCTGGTTTCTGGTCTTTCAGACCTTCTGCTTCCCTGAACCTCCCATCCTTCCTAGATTTTCTCCTGAGGGGATTTCCCCTTCCTCCACCTTGTGTCACTGTTGTCCATTATCATGGTAGCTCCGCTGTCACCAACTCCTAGATCTTCAGGACCATGTCTCTTCAGGTGGGCCCAGCAGCAACATCCTCTTTTGCTGCTCACTCCTGGTTTATATCCAAGAGGTCCCATGGACCACAACGTGCGGCAAGATGCAGCTGGCAGGCACGTAACTCTGTAGGACAACCTCATCAGTCTTCCCAAGCCAGACAGCAAACGCTGCGCTTTCTTGCTCTGAAGTCCAATGCCCCTGGAGAAAGCAGGCGAGACTAATCAAAGAAGGGTAACCAGGGGCCAAGCTGGTGGCCTTTAAAAGGTGACTGCCCCTTGTCCTGCACACATTCATCTCAACTTGGGGCTTCCTTCCTCCCCAGCCCAGAGTGTCAACCCCACTCACCCACATACACGCTTGAGAGAGTTGGAGCAAGCCCCTCTTGCCTCTGCCTCATGCCTGTGACCGCTTGGCAAACCACTGGGTACTTGACACAGAAAACTTCCCACTCATGGGCAGTTGGAGAGGAGCGCTGGCAGACACGCGACCCTAAGGGAGCACTGCGTGCTGGGGCCAAAACATTCAGTCACACATTCCCCTCCCTCCAGAACAAGAAGTCTCCTGGTACCATCTAAGAAGCTCAGGATAATTACATTGTTTCCAGGGAGGAGGGGAAGCACAGCCCTTGTTTACAGGTAGACACCCAAGCTGTGTAGCTCAAATGACTCTGCCAAGTTCACAGTGGGTCCATGGCAAAGGCAGGAACAGAGCAGAGCTTCCTTGACCCTGTCCAGGCTAGAGCTGCACGGTGATCCCTGTGCCTTTAACCCCTCCAGCACCTTTATTAGCAAGGACATCTACACTTAGATCAATTTTATACAAGCTAAGTCTGGTCCACAGCCTTTTGACAGTTAACTAACATAGCTTGGCTATGGAAATCAGCTTCTCGCTCTTCTGTTGTGTAACTTATCTCCCAGAGATAGCTCCTCTAGATGTCTTCTAGCCCCAGAGCAGCTAAACTCAAGGGTGGGAAGACACCAGTTCTGCCTCTGTTTTTTCAGTCTTACGCAGGACCGTCAGTGGCTGAAAGGGGAGTAACAGGGGATGGCAGCAGGCCAGTGGCAGGCCACCTCTGCGTGGGTCTCACGGGGATGCTTGCTGGCTCAAAGCTGGATGTGGGCTCCTACCTAGGCTTCAGGTACAGCGTCTGCAAAACAGCCTCCCTCGCCGTTACAGCCTTACAGCAGCTGCCACTGATTGCAGTGTCCAACTTCATTGTTAGAACAGCTGTGCATGAAAATACCTGTGCTTTGCTAGCACACCTTTACTGTCTATACAGAAAATAATAGCAGCAGATGTGTAGAAATCAGCTCTCTGGTCTCCTGCACGGTCTCCTGCATGGTGTCCTGCCTTCCTTTTGCTCACACCCAGGGGAACGGACTGGCAAGTCTGCAGAAGAGGCTGCTGTGATGGATTGTTTTCTTTTTTAACTTTTAAGCCATGGTGGGACAGGGGGAACTGTCTCTCAGCTTTACACGGGCATGAAAACACTCACTACACCCTCCAGAGTCCTTCCTCCCACCAGGAGGATGCAGCGCCGCAGGCAGGACCACGGGCACCTTATCACACTGGAAATCTGTCCTCAGAGCAGCCGTAGGGGGCTGCAGCGGTGCGACTGCTGCCCCGTTCTGCCCAATTCAGAGCTATCTTCTGGCTGGAAGCGGTAATTGCATCCTATCCAAATGCTGTGTCTAAAGCCAACGCTGTCAGTCCCTTCTCAGAGGCACACAGAACAATTCTGAATGAAAAGCATCTTTCCTGCAGCTCTGTGCACGTGCAAATGTTGCCCTTTGGTGGATGAGGAGCCAGAACTCAGTGGAAAAAGGCTCTGAGGGTGACCCTCACTGCTAGTAAGTGGGGCTGAGAGGAAGGGGACAGTCCTGATGCTCAGGACTGTGACTGCAAACTGTAATCCAAGAAGGTGCTGACAAGGAGGCCGTGACGTGGCGGATGGTGCCATCCCTTCCCCATCCAAAAGAGATGTCAAATACGGACAAGTATTAGGGAGCAAGGCCATCTCCCGTGGAAGCGATGAGGAAGGATGACCCCCTCTCCCAACACATGATGTGCACAGGATGCAACTGTGGTCACCATGGGTAATCAGCCAACTGTTTGGTGAACACTGAAACTCATTAAAACTAATTTCCAGTGGCGTTGGGTCTTGGTGCTGGCTGGTTTTCGAACCTGGAGTATGGACTCACCCTTCATTTCATACAGAGGTCACCCACTGGCGAGGACCTTTGACTGAGGAGCAGATCACTGGTATCTAACACGACACAAAAGCCAACCAAAGCTTGGTCAAACACAACTCTCCCGTGTGGGCTCTTCTCTTTAATAAGAAATGAGCTCCCACTGCAATGGATGGAGGCATTTAT